CTCTGGTCGATTAGAAGTTTAGAACTAAAGATTTCAATATACTCTGACAGAGTAGTCAGATCTAAAAACCCGATATACTAACACTCACCAGCTAATCTTTTCCGTTCGGATTCGGTGAGTCGTGCTGCAAACCCGTTGAAACTCCTTTTGTAGCTTCTCACCAAGCGATTCTCGATCGAACTAGAACATACATATCACCTTTTAGAATTTTTATAATGCATTAAACTATTTTTTTCCAAATTAATCACACCTCTCTTCGATGACTTCTTGAAGAATACTCATGTGATCGGACATTGGTGTGTAGTCCTCTCGAGACGGAAGTGCTCCCAAGTACACGATATATACCTTCATTACCATTCAATAGCATCATGTATGTTAGTACTTATAGTGAGAAACAAGAGATCATGATAATAATTATAATTATAATTATACCTGTTGATCTGCATCATCATCCTTCACTGATGAGACTGAACAAAAAAACAGGACAAGGAGACATGAGAAGAGGCAATAGAAAGTTGCACCTTTCACCATTTCGAATAAACTAAATTAACTCTTTATATAATTTTGCGATTTTATATATAGAAGAGAGATTTGTGGAAGTATTAAAAAATCCAATCAATCTCCGCTGATTTTGTTTCTCTAATTGTTTTTTTTTCTTTTTGAAACTTGTTTCTCTAATTGTTGATATAGTAAAATCTAGTATTGCCATATTTTTTACAGAAAATAAAATCTAGTGAATTGATTTATTTGTCAATAAAAATTTGGTTATTTTGATTGATATAACATTAAATTATAATATATAATTATAAATGAGAAGTCACTTTTTCTATGTGGCGGTCTCACAGCGAGTTTAAGATTTGTTTTGCCGAAAATACCCTTAAATGGTGAACTTAATTACATTCAATTGTGAGGTCAAAAATCTTATGTGTCGTCTCCAGAGCGAGTTTAAGACTTGATTTGTCTATATTACTTTTAATGATCTATATAATTACATATCCATGCCATCGGCCTATTTTTATAAAACGCAATTCTACACTTTTAAATGAAAAGTCACTTTTCCTATGTGGCGGCCTCACAGCGAGTTTAAGATTTGTTTTGCCGAAAATACCTTTAAATGGTGAACTTAATTACATTCAATTGTGAGGTTGAAAATCCTACGTGTCGTCTATAGAGTGAGTTTAAGACTTGGTTTGTCTATATTACCCTTAATGATCTATATAATTACATATCCATGCTATCGGCCAATTTTTATAAAACGCAATTGAAATAATCTTTAAACAGAATATACCATTAATCTGATCGGTTTATTTTAGGGTTTGCGTCCGTCTCTCTCATATATATACTAAACTATCATGCTTTAGTATGTGTTCAATCGTTCCAGTGTATGCCATCTTTTCTTTTCGCCCAATCTCATTATTTTAAAGTTCGTC